CCTCAGTAGTACGTACGCATGTATTAAAAAAGAAATGAAATCATATCTTTAAATTACGCCAATTGCAAAACGAATATATAATTTCTTGCAACATATAATATATATTATTGTATTTTGTAAATTGCGAAAAGAACATATATTTTATTGCAACATATAACATTTATAGAAAATAAATGCCATGTGCATATCAGTTGATATCAACTGATCATTGATTGACGCATGATATCAATATTATAATATATAATATAAAATAAAACCTGAACGGTTATATCTAAAGGTTCCTATTGTGAATCTATAACCTGTCTAATGTTCCTATTTACCGGTTTAACCAATATAATATAACTTGTAGAAAACCTGTTGTAAAGAATGGTTTCGGCGATTTAACAGTGGTGATTTTGACGTGCGTGACAAAGAACGCGAAGGTGCACCGAAAAAATTTGAAGATGCAGAATTGCAAGCATTACTCGAAGAAGATTCATGTTTATCGCTTGATAGGTTGTCAAAAGAGTTAAATGTTGATAGATCCACTGTTGGAAAACGTCTACACGCAATGGGAATGATGCAAAAAGCATACGACGATACCTATATTCTGAAAAACAAAGTTAGTCTCTGTCAACTTTGTTTTTCAGAATATAGGTATCATCGTATTGCTTAAAAATTCTCAGTCCTTCTTTGACATCGTCTAATTTCTCTTCTGAGAACTGTTCCAACATAATTCTAAACGAATTCAGAAATCCCTCGATCCATTGATCAACGCATTCGGTTGTGTATTTATCTGCCTGAGTGTAAAGAGTAATAGAATATCCTAACATTCCGTTCACATCTCTAAAATCGCACGAAATATAACTAAGCATTTCTTTGGTTCGTAGATGATTCATTAATTCTTTCATTAATTCTTTCATCTAAAAGTATAACAGATGAACGTGATATTAAATAGAATCAATCAAGGTAATCGAAAATGTTATTCGCATTTTATTTAGTATTAAAGATAAATATAAATTGAAGATTCCATATATTTAAATGTATAAAACAATGTTATTAAATACTTACGACCATCAGCTGGATTAACACCGACAATTCAATCGTAGCAGAACCGATTTGATAATAATTTGTCACTACCGAGTTTACATCCGTTGGGTTAATATTTTTCTATTTGAAATAAGATGTGCCTCGGGGTATCTTATAGAATGAAGCAGCCAACATCTTAACATTCAAGGAATCACGGCTAATTTTGTTGATAAATTGTTGTATCATATTCATCGTAAAGTCTTTCGTTACGTTGCCTTCTACGAGGCATTGGAAGTACAGATTGTTGGTAAAGGACTGTAAAAAATCTCGGATCTTTACAAAATTAAATTTACGTAGAGCACTGTATCTATGAACGTGTGTACAGTTGCCATACTTCAATATCCGTAATTCTACATCCCTACCAAAAATATATAAAAAAAAGCTGTATATGTTATTAATCAAAATAATAAGAAATGTAATAAATATAATTCATTTTATAAAATTAATTGTTGTAATTAATGTTCATCATTAATTCTTTTTTTCTACTTGTATAAAAATTTTATAATTACTGTAATTATGCTTGGTAATAAATAGTACGTACTTGACGAACTTCTCCGGATCTATAAAGTTGTAATATGCCTTGACTTGTTGCGTTTTTATAATTTTAAACAAGTCCATCGAAAAAGAGACTGAATTCATATAGTTTGCAATAACCATCAACCAGGTCTGCAATGTAAATAAAATATTTATGTTTCTTCAAATTATATATATATA